GCACTGACAGAGCTTGATTGCTAAGGGCTTGGTTTCCCAAGACCCCCAAGAAAGGAGGAGAGCCAGGTCACCTGGCCATGAGGTCCGGCTGGCAAGAGGCCAGCTCAGTGTCTGGCCTCTTGGGGGAGCAGAGCTGGGCGGGGCCACTGGAGCAGTGTCATCTGCTGGGGACAGCGTGGGCCCATCACCAGGCCCTTCACCATCTGAAGCCACTCAGCAGCCTCCCTGGCTGGTCGGCCGCGACCCAGACACAGCAGCCACTGTCTGCCTGGCCGCGGGTGGGGCCCGGGCCCGAGGCCGGCTCTGCGGCCTGTCAGGAGATTTACACCCGACTCTTAACAACCTCTCGGGATCGCGGGCGGGTGCTGGGCCTGGGGTGGTCTGCCGTGAATCGGCCCCCTGTGAGCAGATGAAAGCCGGTCGGTGGCTGGGCAGGGAAACGGGCTGGCAGGGGGCCAGCGGGCAGGGAGGCGGGGGCTCCCTCCCAGAGCCGCAAGTGGGGCTTCCAGGCCTGGGGTTGATTAGGGGAGCCCGGGAGGTCTGCGGTTAACCCCTTCCCTCCTGCTGGGTGGACTTCCCTGGCTCCCCTAGGCCTGCCCGCGGCACGGGGACACCCCAGGGGCTATGGGGTCTCTGGAGCTGAGCCAGGAGCAGTCGCCTCTTCTCAACTCTCCGACCCCCAAGGCCCAGCGTGGGCTTCCGGTCACTCCCACCACCTGCACCAAGCCCCCAGCAGGCGTTCACCTTCCCCAAAGGTCACCCCTCAGGGGACCACCTGCCGCACCCACGCCCGCCCTCTCCACCCCTTCTCCAGCTTTGCTTTGCTTCACAGGACTTCTCACTACCTGCCATGAAGTGAACTAGGTATTCGCTTGCTTGGTGAGTTCAACAAATATTTATGACACTTCTCTAAGCGCTTCTACCTGTATTCCCGGGATCTACACCTGGGCAAAGGAGTGAGTCATGCATCTGGGGCATCTGGGGAAGAGTGTTCTAGGCAGAAGGAAGAGCAGTGCACAGGTCCTGAGGCCAGAGGCCTGGGAAGCAGAGCAAGGGAATGAGAAGGGCATGGGAGAGGGAAGCCAAGGGTACGGCATAGACCCGGTAGGGCTTGAGGCCTTGGCGGCATGTCCTGATCACTTCTCCTTGCTCTGGAGTGTGAGCCCCGGGGTCGGGGGCAACCTATCCAGTTGGGTTCACTCCTGACACACGGTAGGTGCCTGGGAAAGTATCTGTTGAAGTAATTCCACATACATTTTGGGGAGCAAAGGGTCCACAGGGAGGATGCCAGGCCCAACTCCACTACCTCTGGCAGGATTCAGAACCTTGGTCCTACCCGCTCAGGTTCCAGCTCCCACTAGGCCTGAAGGGCGAGGTCAGCCGCTCCCCAGCGAGTCGCCAGCCCTCACTGCCTCCTGCCCGAACCCTGGCCCAGCTCAGCGACCTGCTTCTTAGCCAGCCCCCAGCGACTCTGAGGGATACCAGGAGTGAGAACCTCAGAAACCAATGCCACACAGGCAGGAAGCCACTGAGCCAGCTCTGAGCCCAGCTGGCCACCTGGCTATGGGTCAGACATGCTCTGCAGGGCACTGGAGGGGAACGACCCGCCACAGAACCCACAGTCAGCCTGGGGACTCTGTGGACTCCCGGAACAGCCCACAGCAGGCCCAGACTTCACACTGGCTCGGGGCAGGTAGGAAAGAGCCCAGGAGGCAGGTCCTGGAGCACGGAGGGGGGTGCTGGTCTTGAGACCTCTGGGAATGCATTCAGCCCACGGCCAACGCCCATCCTGCCTCACAAGTGTGCACGCTGAGACGGGAAGGCCCTTCCAAGCGGCCACGCTCCCCCAATCCCCCGCTGGAGCCCCCAGGGTGCACTGACGACCACCTTGGGTGAGAGGTTTTGCCTCCATGGCTCTGTGCCCTCCTGCGGTCACCAAGGGTCAACTGATGGGGCCTCTGCACAGGACCTGGCACGCAGGGGTGCTCAGTGACCACAGCCATTGAGTTGGCCTCTTCCTGCTCACAAATGGGGACACTGAGGCCAGGAAAGGGGAAGGACTTGTTCGAGGTCACAGAGGGAAGGCCAGGTTAGGGCTGGAACCCGGAGTCTGGATGGGTTCTAGTCTTAGGGGCAGAGTACACGAGGAGCAAGGGCAGGCAGGCCTTGAGGGTGGGGTCCTGGGGAACTGACCCTTTCCACCTCTGCTCTGTTCTAGAAATGAACATTTATAGAAACCACTGGTTCAGCTCCTGCCAGGGCCCAGAGAGGGTCAGCACCCTTCTCAGGCGGCACAGTGAGCCCAGCCTCTGGCTGCTCCTGTCTCCCGGTCCAGCCTCTTTCCTTCCCGGTGGTCTTGGCTCCCTTTGGGCTCTGCTGCTTGTCCCTACCAGCTCGCCTAAGAAGGGGCTGTCTCAGACCTGAGGGACCCCAGGAGAGGAGAGCAGGCAAGGGAGCCAGTCCATGGGCAGGGCTGAGCCTCACACTCATCAGGGCCCAGCAGAGCAAGGTGGGCAGCCCAGGTGTGGGGACCAGAATGTGGTAGTCCAGGCACCAAGCAAGGCTGAACACAGAGGATGCACAGAAGTACTGGCACTGCCAGGCTACACGGGACCTTCCCCCATGCACCAAGCCCCCTGCTCACATGTCGTTATCCCGGGGAGCACCCTTCTTTCTGGAGTGGCCCTTATGTGCTGCATCCTCACCCCGAGCCCTGCTGTGGCTCCCGCTATCTGGTCCTGTCCCTGCAGGCGAGAACCAGGCTATCACCTCCTCCAACAGGAACTGTACGCCTGTGCCTCTGTCACCGCGGCAGCTACATGCTGTGCCAGGAGAGGTTCACCAGCCACTGGCAGGGGTGGGAGTGTGGGCAGAGAGAGAGGTGGGCACCAGGGATAAGAGAGTGCCATGGGCCCTCTGGCTCACGAGGACCCTCCCTCTGTCATAGCCACATGCTGTTTACACCGCCCTTGACTTCCAGGCCTGCGGGGTGCGTGCAATCATTTTATGGCGGAGGGAGCTGAGGCCCAGAGAGGTCTGTAACTTGCCCAAGGTTTCACAGTGGGAAACAGCCTTGGCAGCCGTGACTGATCACCTGCCAACCATCCGTAAGTGCTTTATTCAGATTAAGCCATTTTGCCCTCACCACAGCACCAGGCAGCTGCTTGTGTGAATCCCATTTTTCAGATCAGGAAACTGAGGCACAGAGGTGACTTGCCCAGGGTCCCACAGCCAGGCAGCCTGGCTCAGAATCTGCTCTCCTCATCTTGGTGGCCTGTGGTTCACAAGGGCTTCCCACGTGAGGGAAGCCATCACCACCTCGAGACTCCTGTGGTCACTGGTCCCATTCACGGATGACACATTGAGGCCAAAAAGAGCCATGACTTGCTGAGGTCATGAAGCCCAAGGCCAGGGCATGCACCTGTCCATGTAGGACCCCAGCAGCGAGGAGCTGGCAAGGAGCAGCCAGGGCAGCTGCTGGCTGGGGGCTGGTGGTGCCGGCCCCATGACGCAGGTAGGCCTCCTGGTGGGCTGGCAGGTGTGACTCTGAGAGGCCTGGTAGGAAACTTCCCGGGCTGCCAGGCCCAGCTCTGAGCTTTTCCAGGTAGCCAGATGCTGGAAGGGGCCCTGGAAGTGGATGGTGGGAGTCAGGCCTACCCAGCTCCCAAGAAGGGAGGGGCCAGCTCAGGTGCCCCTCACTGCCATGGCCATGGTGCAGCCATACCTGTCTGAGCCCCCTGGGCACTGAGGAGAGACTCCGGGAGCATGTGTCCTCCTGCCCCGGACCCTTCCTGAAGTGAAGACTGCCCGGGAAGGCCACGGCCTGGGTACCTCCCCACCTTGCATGGTGAGAAGTCCAGCCAGGTGCCAGTTTCCTCAGGACACTTCTCTCCTCACTGGGATGCAGGTGACCCTTTGATTCTGCTGTCACAAGGATCCCATGAAGTAACAGATGGAAAAGGTGTTCTAAACTGCAAAGGGTCACACTAGCAGAGAAAGAGAAGCGGGCCAGCTCTCAACACGCCCGACTGAGTGTGCCCCAGTTCACACTTGCAGAGAAAGAGGGCTGGGCCAGCTCTCAACATGCCTGGCTAGGTGTGCTCTGGTTCACACTTGCAGGGAAGGGGGGGCAGCTCTCAACACGCCCAGCTGAGCGTGCCTCAGTTTACACTAGCAAAGAAAGAGGGATGGGACAACTCTCAACACACCCAGCTGAGCGTGCCCGGTGCGGGCAGCCCAGACAAGAGCTCTGGGCTAGGACACAGGATGCCGGCTCTGCTCCTTCATCCCTCACACATCCAGTGACACAGACCCGGGCCTCCCAGCCTCATCTGCAAGCTCCAGGGCCTTCAGCAGGTGAAAGGAATGAAACTCAAACGTGCCTTGCTGGATCAGGACCCACTGCACACAACAGGTGCTCCATAAATATCTGCAGAATCGAATCTGCAGTCCCAACCCACTTGTGGGGTCATGGGGTCAAAGCGCCCAGTCTCTGTGCGACTCAAGCGGGTCATGTGCCAAGACTCCAAGAAAGAGCCTCCCAGACAGGGATCTGGCCCCACAGCCGGCCAGCCCCTGCCCTTCAGCGGCTCCTATCCTCCATCCCCCCTCAGCCACTGGCGGAACGGCCCCTACGAACTCCATCTCTGAAGCATCTCCAACCCTCCCCTTCCTTGATGCCCTCGGCTACCCTTCACGGCCAGTCAACCCGCAGGGCAAGTGGGGCACCAGACTGTTCTGTCACTGCAACCCCTCAGCCTCCTCAGTGGCCTCCCACAGTCTGGGGCTGAGCCCAGAG